AAGGCCATTCAGATAACCTGAATGAGAAGTGAACTTTGCCTCCTCAAACTTTCGTTTGCACCACTTTTATGATTCTTATCACAAATGGACTTAAATTGTAGTTATTTGTGTATTTATCTTTCCTACTGCAATACAGGATCCTTGAAAGATACAATTTGTTGTATACTTCTGTAGAACCCCTCCTCCCCATTCTCTTGCATGTATATGGATATCATAAACATTCGTTAAATGAATGGATAAATGATCGATTCAGATGAGACCTCAGGTTTGATTATATTTCAAACAGGATGCCAACCTTCATCAAGAGTCCTGACTCTCTTTATTTAAAAAAAAAACGTAAATTGCTTCAATTGCAGGTTATCAGTTGATATTTGCCTCTTGAGGATTCTGAAACCAAAGGCAGAGTATGATTCCCTGTGTGACATGTGGCAAGCTATGAAGTCTATGGCAAGCTATGAAGTCTGCAGCAAGTGAACTGAAGAGTTTCATGAGGTCTCAGAATGTTGTAGTGATAAGAAGCAATTTGGAAGACGGGTAGGGGACTTTCCTACTATGTATGATGTGAAAACATGAGCAAATCAAACAAGTTCCCTTAGAGGTATTTTATAAGCCTCTCTGTGTCCATTTAAAAAAGGAGAAACAAATATATTCTGGAGATAAAGGAGGTCATTTCTTTCTGACCATTTCAGCCCTTTGGAACAAGATTCTGAACCTCAGTAGTGACACCATTTCTTTCATAGCAATAGTCCTGCTGCCTGGGCAGTATCATTCAGGAAAGTACTCCTTGCCAGGTTCCTGAGGCTCCCTGTAGGGAAAGCCCATCTGCTCCTGGTACAGTATAAGTGCCTAGTGAGAGACGAGAAGCATAGATTGTGCCAGGCAAGAAATTGATATAGTTAGTAACCAAGTCAGAGTGGATCTCTGACCAATGTCTAACCATTTTATATAGCATACTTTATCACAACAGACTTATTTTAGGTATGCTCAAGACCATGTTAAGCACTGTGGTTTATACAAATGCATAGAGGACACTATCTTGCCTTTGATAAACCTAAACCAAAGGGGGCATTTAATATGTCCTCTTTTGAATAAACTCCTTTTAAATAAACTTATGAGAGACAAGGGACATGTGAATAAATGAAAAATACTTCTAGAGCTGAATATAAAGATTCATATTGAAAGGATTTAGACTAAGAGAAGGTCATGGTGAGATGGAGTTAAGGGCAAGATTTTTGAAGGAAAAGAATAACTGGGCTTTATGGCTTTATTTTCATCCTGGTAAAAATTAGGGGTAAAGTTAAGAAGTAGCAACAGAAGTGGTAGTAGGATGAAGAAGGTATGTGGGTGATGTGGTTGGATAGGCTGAGTGGGGACAATTTATGGGAAGAGGCTTGGTGACAGACAAGCTGACGAATCTTGAATTGTTCCCATAGATATCAGTAAGTACTTTGGTTCTTTGGCCTTAAAGTTTTAATAACTTTCATCCAGCCTTGGTTATCAGGAGATACTAGAATGGAAGATATATGGATAGGAAGATCATCTAAGAGCTTATTGTTGCAGGAATCCAGATGTGAAAACGGGAATGGTGGTTAACATGAGACTGGAAAAGAGAAGTTGAATCTAAAAGACATTGAGGAGTAAGGACCAGTAAGCCTTGGTGAGAGAATGCTTACAAAGGACTGAGTTGTTTCACAGATAATACACGTAGCTTCTATTAAATCATGACCTTGGGATGTAGGAAAAGGCAAGAATAGTGAAACTAAAGCTAAGATTAGGTAAGTGGCTTCGCCAGGGTAAAACATGCCTCCTTACCGAAAGAGAAGGATGTTCTGAGAAACCTGAGTATTTTTCTTATTGACTGGTTTATTTCACTCAAATCATCTTCCCTGAAACTCTCTTTTTTTAAAAAAGATGACCAGTAAGGGGATCTTAACCCTTGACTTGGTGTTGTCAGCACCACGCTCTCCCTAGTGAGCTAACCGGCCATCCCTATATGGGATCCAAACCTGTGGCCTTGGTGTTATCAGCACCGCACTCTCCCAAGTGAGCCACGGGCCGGCCCTTGAAACTCTCTTTGATTAAGCTTTTTGTCATCCAGTTCCTGACCTTCATGACACTCATACTCTCCTTAAACTGGCACACTCCCCTCTTGTTGGAGCAGGTGACAGTGTGACCAGCACTCTTCTCTACTGTCTTCTTCCTTCTGCCCAAACATTAGAGCCACGTGAGGCAGCAGTGAGATGTGGATCTTCTTCATGCCTCTTCAGGTGCTCATCCACAATTCTACTTCCTGCTAGAGCTCACCCTTGATGGTTTTGGCAAAGTGTTCATGAATCTTTTATTCCATGAATTTGTTGTGTTCACTTAGGGTTTATGACAGACAGGTTTAAAAGTTTTATTGTAAATTCTGAAATTCTTTCAGGTATTTGTCAACTTTTGCTGCATGATTTGCTTCCCTTTCATGTCTCTTGCTCGTCCCACGAGATACAAATAAGCCAACACAATCTTCATCGAAAAGCATTATTCTCCTATTGCCCTTCAGTACTTGTAAAAGGAAGTGTGAAAAATTTAGTAGCTTAGATTTGTTAAAAATAAGGTTGAAGTTTTCTGTTTTCTCCTTCAGCTTGTTGTTTGCTTACTTGAGTGGTCTGCTCAGGAAATGGCCTTGTAGCTAAGTGGGTTTTTGAGGTTTGGTTATTTCATGATGTCTCTATACCTTTTGGTTTTACAATAGAACAGACTCCTAAGTATTGCTGCTTGCTTTTTAAAAAAATCTGCAGTTCTGCCAAGACGCTATTTATAGAAACTTAGATTTTTGAGTAAAAAAGACTATGGAGGCATCTAAGTTTTTTTTTCCTTATCTCATATTTATCTCTATCTCTTCCCTCACTAAGAAGAGTAAAAAAAAAAAAAAAAATCAATGAGAGATTGTTATGAAATATGGGCTTGAGGAAAATAGATTTAAATTTTATTTTATTAGGCATCTTTTTACTTAATTAATTAATAAAGAATTAATAAAGTTCTGGTTGAGGAAATCGGAAGGGGACAGATATTATGAAACTATATCTCTTAATTGTCTACACACAGAAAATAATTTTCCATTTAGGATTATGCTTTGCTATTCTGCAAATAAGAAAGTTAGTTCGGAATGTTTTTATTTTATCAGTAATCAAGTCCGTATCTTTAGTTTTGAGATGCTTTATTAACTGGTTAAGGGTGTTTTCCACCATACTGTGGCTTGCTCACTATTATATGCCTAGCCCTTTTCATAGTGCTTAGCATTTAGTAACTACTCCATAAATTTGTTGAACAAATTAATGAATTTTTTGTTCTAATTTTAAAAATGGTATAATAATTTTAAAAAGCATCCTTAATTTCATTACACTCACACAATTGATACTTTTTTGCACCTTTCAGTCTTCATTTAACTATGTACATTCTTTTACATGGTTTTAGTTATTGTGAACTTGAAAGCTTTCCCATAGTGTATGTTTTAAAATAGCCAAATTAAACATTGAATTACTTGGAGCAGCAAGAAATTCTCCTTTAATGATAGATGAGGGTAATTTCAGAAATATCCTATTCTCAGCAAATATTACTGAAGAATTATGGTTCATTTTAATTTATGTGGACTGGGATAGAAATTTTTCATTTGGAATACTGGCTTCAAGTTGCCTATAACCAAGATACCTCAATGACCTTTCCTTTCTTATTGTAGGGCTCAGTAAAGAAGATACAGCCTTTTTAATATAAATGGTGTTCAGAATCATGATCCCCGAAGAGAGTTTGAATAATGCTGCCAAACAGAAAGGATCGCTACTATCTTAAGTAGAGGAAGTCCTAACACACATTTCCCAGTTTTCTTCAGGATTATTTCAGGCTAATTGTGTTAACATACTATTTATTGAACTTCTGCCCTCAAACAAAGATGATATGCTGATTTTGGGGTGTTCTCACACTGAATTAGACATTTCAGTAGATTTGTATCCATTGAGGAGAGAACTTATGCAAGCTGAGATGTGGAAGGTTTTTCTACAACAGACTGCCTGTCAGGGCCAAAATGCCATGTGCACAGAATGGCTTCCTGAAACAATGTCTTTTCCAAGACATTGGTTGCAGAGTACAAATTTCTTCTCTAGAAACAGTTTTTCAGGCTTTCTGCCCTAAAAGTTATAACATTGTGAGCAAGGTGGCTGATTTTGCTTTCTTTTTTTCCTTGGTCGTTTACCAGCATTGCATATGCCGGATATTGTGCTAACTGCCTGGTCAGGTGCTCTTTGTGGGGGTCACTTCCTGATCCTATATAGCCCAACATGCCCAGTCTTTCTATCCAGAACATAAGTGAAGCTCAAAAATCTACTGCAAGGTTGAAGAGGTGCTGAAATCAATAACACTTCCCTTAATGTAGGTCAGCACTTCCCCAGCCCTGGGAGAAACACAGACTGTCAGAAGCAGCTGACTTTGCTTCATCCAAAAGAGAATTTGAGGTCTAAATGCCAGACTTAAAAGTTCTAAATAAAGATGCCTTCTCTGATGAACTCGAGTTTGCCACTGATCACAGTAACAAGAAACTTTTGGAGAATAGTCCACATAGGAGGTGTATAACTACAAACAGTGTCTGTCTCCTTTTCTAGGCCTAACTGAACTTTGCAGAGTTCATCTGGGACATGAAGAAACAGAAGCCATCAGCAGGGCCTTTGTGCTCACTGGGGAAATAGGGAGAAGCAGAACTTATCCATAAAAACTATAATTCTGCCTTTCTCTGGAGAACAAGAAGAAAGGTGAATTTTACTTAACAGTGATGGAGTGGAACAGTCTCAGAGCTAAGCAGACCACACTTTATTTTTTGGTTAGCCTCTTGTTTGTTAAAAATTTGTACTGTAACCAGGTTCCTTTGTTAAGAAGGAAGGCGCTAGGGCCCTGGAGCGAGGTGATGGCTTTGTTGTGTGACCACAGAGGCTGGTTACGTACTAATTTCCTCTAAGGCTTGTGATGAAGTCAGTAAACCACAGCCTTCAGCATACTCTGCTCAGGCTGCAGCAGTGGCTTCTCAGTGGTGTCTCGGCCATGACATACATTTGACATGCCCTCCCTCAACCCACTCACAGACGGTTTCTCTTGCTCTGCAGCATGGACCAAAGAGAAATTCTGCAGAAGTTCCTGGATGAGGCCCAAAATAAGAAAATTAACAAAGAGGAGTTTGCCAATGAATTTCTGGTGAGTCCTGTGTGTGGTACTGTCAGAGTAGTTACATATGCTATTTGACTGACTATGGTGGCCCAACTTTCCTATACTAAATTGCTCTTGGTATAAAGTGAATATCAGACCTTGGAGGGAAAGAAGGCAACCTAAAAGTTTGACTTCTCTTAGTGGTTTGCATGTATTTTAGGTATTCTCTCAAAAATACTTGTTTTAAAATTTTGTTTGCTAGTTCTTTGGAGTTTGACTAGGAATCCTACAGAAGATATATGCAACTCCAGATGTATAAATTCTAATATTAATTGAACATCCAGAGTTCTCCAGGTATCTGAGTTGTGGTTTGTGCTTCAAATTACTAATTTTAAATAATATTAAGAAGAAATACTATACTGGCCAGCACCCCCGCCCCCCCAAAAAAAAATTAAGAGAAAAGAGACCAAGATTAACTTTTCATGGAACATTATTACATTTTTAGATTCTCCATGGGATTCCTTTTGAAGACAAAGATTTTTTGAAGAGCACAAAAACTACCCTCGGCCACATTTCTTTCTTTTTTCTTTCCTTTTCCTATGGAAGAAGTGTTAGAACATGTGTTTTTGCAATAACATTGTTTTCTTAATTTCTTTTGCTTATATGGCTAGGGTGGGAAGTAGAGACAAGGGAGGGACATGGAGAAAAACATGAGTATGGGCAAGAATACGGGATGGCCTTGGGTCAGGTGGACTTGATTACCCAGAGACACAATGCATCTTCTCTAAAGGAACTGTGATTATCTATGCAATGGCACCTGGAGAGGCCTCGTTCACCCTATAACCTGGCACATTAGATAACACAGAATGTCTGATAGTACCTATCATTTATTTTGGCATATTTAACCTGTCACCAACCACCAAATTATCAACTATTTGACATGTTCCTTAATCTCTCCAACTCTTCTTTCTCACTTATAAAATGTGGATAATAATTTGTTTTACCTATCCTCACAGGATTGTTGTAATAATTAAATATTAATAATAATAATTAAATGTGTCCATTCATTCAGTAATATTTACTGAGCACATACTATGTACCAAGTTCAGTTCTAGGCACCAAGGATACAGTAGTGAACAAATGAACAAAAACCTTTGCCCTCATGGAGCTAACATTATGGTACCAGATAGCAGATGTGAAAAATACTCGGTAAAAACTCGAGTGATTTGATATTATAAGAAACCCCTATGTCGGTTCAACTGAATAATTTCATGGTATTATGAAAATGGCCAGGCAGTCTGAGTCCCTTTGAGGAGAGTTACCAGAGAGGAGGTAAGGAGGAAATACTAGCCCATGTATCAGTTTAGACATGTGCCTGCTCCTGGACTATAATTCCTGAGCCAAAGTCACCCAAGACATAAAGGTAAAAAGTGAGCTGAGGGGCAGTGACAATTTCTGTTTTATTTTGGTTGTGGTTTTTATTTTATTTTTATTTTATTTATTTATTTATTTATTTTTTAAAGATGACCGGTAAAGGGATCTTAACCCTTGGCTTGGTGTTGTCAGCACCACGCTCAGCCAGCGAGCCAACCGGCCATCCCTATACGGGATCCGAACCTGGGGCCTTGGTGTTATCAGCACCACACTCTCCCGAGTGAGCCACGGGCCGGCCCTGGTTGTGGTTTTTAAAATAATGTAACTATATCCCTAATATTTTACCTTTTCTCAGCTCAAGTCATAATCTCTCACCAAATTGTAGCACTACCTCCTAATAGGTTTCTCAGGCTCTGGCCTTGCCACGTTCAATCAATTTTCCATTCACATGAGTTTTAATAATACAAATATGGTCATTTTTTCCCTTCTTAACTTTTTATAGTTAGTATTTTCTTTAGCTGTTTAAAATTGTGAAATATAATACACATGTAGAAAAGTACGTAAAAGTTGTTAGTGAAATTATGAATTAATCATTCTCAGTGCAACCACACCCAAGTCAAGAAATACAACACTGTCAAATCCCCGAAGACCACTATATATTCCTTTCCCATCAGGCCCCATATCCCTACCCCCACCCTGTCCTGCCTTGCTGAAGGGATAATCACTATCCTGACTTTTATATTAATCACTTCCTTGCTTTTCTAGCTCCTGATTTTAAGGACCTTGTTTTTGGGTTGTGATTAAGTGGAATCTCACTGTTCACTGACTCATGTCCTCCAGTGGAAAAATAGAGTCTTGCCCACAGCCCCACCTAAAGGTTCAGCTGAGACACCAGAGAGATAACTTTGGGGGAGAAGGGAGTGGTGAATAGGGCCAGATTACTTACTTGGACAAGGTAAATGCCGCCATTAAACTGAGGGGCTTTCCACTTTGTTATGCCATATCCCACCTTAAGTCCTTCATGTATTCTCCCAAGATTTGATATTTCTACGGTTTAGGACTGACTGTGACACAAGGCCACTGCTAGCCTAAACAGTGGTGCCTTTGTGGGAATTACCAAAAGGAATCTTTACTTCCAGGCAGATGCTCTGTGCATCATACCCCCTTCCGCTCCCCAGGTTCATGGGTCAGATTTCAGTCCCCATTTCCCCCCTGGCCAGGTATCTTTGTGCAGAGCACATATTCATAACTGGTACGGTAGTCTGCTGTGACAGCTGAAGCCAATGCCATGCTGCTTAGGTCTTTTTTCTGTGCCGGGACTAAATTCAATAACCTTTCTATAGTTGAAGCTGCCACTGATCACCCATCTAAGGTTTTCATACATTCATTTAAATATTTATTGAGTGCTTACTGTGTTTAAGTATTGTACTAGATGCTGGGAATGCAGTGCAATGCTCCAGATTTAGTGGAATTATGAGTATTTTCTAAGACATCAGTCAGAGGATGTCTTAGAGAGGCAGACATTAAATAACTAATCACTCTATTAAATATTTAATTATAATTGTGATAGTCTTGGCCGGGTGTCAAGGAACATCAACATTCATTATCTTATTTACTACTCAAAAAAAAAAAAAAAAACCCGTATGAGGTAGCTACAGCTAGGATCTCTGACTTACGGGTGAGGAAACTGAAGCTCTGAGAAGTTAAATAAATGGCTTCAGCTCACTCAGCTGTTTAGCCATAGAGATGAAACTTAACCCAGATCTGTCTTATTTCAGTCCTTATGAAATTAATCCTTATGCAATAGTGTCTTAATTCAGCCAATAACATTGAATCCCTCAAAAGGCCTAGCCTGAAGGTGGGTCCCCATGTAGTATAGTTTCTATACAGCGGAAACACCTGTATAAAATCACACAATTGAAAATTTCTTAAAGATTCTTTTTTAAAGGCCCTCATTGTTATTTTTATGAAACGATATTATTGCAAGTGAAAAGAAAATAAATTCATTGTAGTATTCTTTTTTATTTTTATTTATTTTATTTTTTTATTATTTTTTAAAAAGATGACTGGTAAGGGGATCTTAGCCCTTGGCTTGGTGTTGTCAGCACCACGCTCAGCCACTGAGTGAATCGGCCATCTCTATATAGGAACCGAACCCGTGGCCTTGGTGTTATCAGCACCGCACTCTCCCGAGTGAGCCACGGGCCGGCCCCATTGTAGTATTCTGATAAAACTTTTTTTGTGAATCTTCTAGTTCTTGTCCATTTATATAGTGCTTTTACATTATTGTAATTATAGCATAGGTACGATTTTGTATTCTCATATTTTCACTTAACATAATACCAAAATTAATTATCATACTGATTAAAATGTATATTATTTTTAATGTTGGATGATGCAGCCATGGTATAATGAAAGAATAATAATCATAATAATAACTAATACTTCTATACCTCTTATAGACACTGTTCTAAACACTCATATTTCAGCTCATTCACTCCATTGAAGAAGGTAGTTATTATTTTCATTTTACAGATGAGGAAATAGACACAGAGAGGTTCGTTAACTCGATCAGGGTTACATAGCTAATAAGTGGTGGAACTTCAAGTTCATGTAGTCTTGCTTTATCATCTGTACACATTTAATAACTTTGGAGTCATATAAATCTCGGTTTGACTTTAGACTCTATTATTAGCTGTGTAACCTTGGATGAAGTCACTAAAAAGTGGGGACAAAAAATATTTGCTTTGCAGAATTGCTGTGAAGATAATGAAATAAGTATATAAACTGCCTGACACATAGTAGATACCCAAATAATTTAGTTATTTCTCTATTGTTAGACATGTAGGTTATTTCTAACTTTTCAAGATTATTGATGGCACTGCAATAAATTTTGTATCTGAATTTATCATCTTCTCTACAACCTTGCTACTACCGTAGTCCCCCCTTATCTCAGGCGGTGGGGGGATATGTTCAAAGATTGCTGGTGAATGCCTAAAACCTTAGTACCGAACCCTATATATACTATGTTTTTTCCTATATATACATAGTCTTAATTTAATAACTATAAAAGATAATACAGCCGTCTTCCCTTATTCTCAGTTTTACATTCTGTGGTTTCAGTTATCTGCAATCTATCACAGTTTGAAAACATTACAGTATTTTGAGAGAGAAAGAGAAAGAAAGAGAGATCACACTTACATGAGGGGTCTTCAAAAAGTTCACGGAAAGATTTGGATTATCTTTTACTTACATTTTTCCAAATCTTTTTGAAGTACCCTCATGTAACTTTTATTACAGTTCTATTTTATTAGAAGTTATTGTTGTTAATTACTGTGCCTAATTTATAAATTAAACTTTTTCACGGCTACGTATATATAGGAAAAACATAGTATATATAGGGTTTTGTACTATCTGAGTTTTCAGGCATTCACCCAGGATCTTGGAATGTGTCCACCCTCCCCACCCCTGCCGAGATAAGGAGGGACTCCTGTAGTAGACACATTTTATTGACTGCTTACCATATACTAGGCAATCTGCTACGTGCTTTGCCGTATGTGATCTCAGTTAGTCACTACAATAACTCCAAGAGGAAAGTACTTGTATTATCTTCATCAATGATGTTATGTTAAGTGTTTTCTTTTACGTCTTGCTTCTTTCACTCTACATCATAT